CTCGCTCTCTGGTCTGCGGGACCTCCGAGGCCTCCGCTGCAGCGACGGGGACGTGGAGGGAGCGCTTCCACCAGGATCCACCCCCACCCCCTTACCCCTTGGGATCTGCGGCTCCTTCTGGGGCACAGAGCGGCCGCCTTCTCGGCTGGGTCCCCGGACGCAGACAGCAAAGCAAAGGAAAAGCGGACGAATTGGGGAATTGGGTCAGAGGCGGCAGTCGCGGGACTTCCCTCTTTCCTTCCCCTGTCTTTCTGTCCTCTCAAACGGGCCATTTGGGTCAGTCCTTTCAAAGGGTCAGGAAATCGACGGAGGCCTGAGCACCCAGAAGGGAAAGGCTGATCCAGTGGCGGCCGAAGTTTGTTTCCTCCCTCCAAGCCCAGTCCGGCCACCAGTGGCACTCAAACAACACGCGAGTCAATTGTGGTCTGCAAAACCATGTGCTCCCGGGGCTGTCACCCCAAAGACGATGGTGAATAAAGAAAAACCCCAGCCTCCCACCAGCTATGAACAGAGCCCCTGTGCCTCTCTTCATGGGATAGCATAGTGGCCTGGTTGGGGGGCAACAGGGTGTGCGTTTTCCTGGGTACATTGGGCCCCAGGGACGCTTAAGGGGCTTTATTCAGGCTACATCCAAACAGACCAAGTGTTGATCTGAAAACTGGAGGTCTAGATTTAGATCTTTTGGATTTTAAAAAAAGGAAAGGGAGTGGGGGAGAAAATAACCAACGAACTGAGGAATATTGTACACATACTCATCTCACCATGTCTCTGGTTGGAGCGTGTGTGGTGGGCAGCCGCAAGGCCACCAAGTAGTTTCCTCATTCAAAAATAAACCCCCCTCCTTGGAGCCTCTGCTTCTGAGCAGGGAGTGGAGGGACAACTCATGCAAAGCCCACCCTGTTGAGACTGTGAGTCCTGACCGCTGAAGACTTGATATGGGAATGTGGGGCCCAAGGGGGGAGGGGTGCAGGGGTAGACAAGTGGAGGAGTGAAGGCTTGGAGGGGATCAGGGGGGAGGGGTTGGGATGTGGAAACACTGAGTCAGCCAGCAGCTCCAAGACCAAATCTCTGGGTCCCTGATGTCCCTGAGCCTCCATTTCTTCATCTCTGAGGTGGGAAGGCTACTGACCTCACAGGCCTGCAGTGAGGGAGAGAAAAAACCAGACACGTGGAAATCCTACTTTGCATCTGCTTTATCATGATCAGTTTTCCTTTGGAATGATCAAATTCAAAAGCCCTTGTCTGGAGACCCAGCAGGGAGTGCAAGGATCCCGTCCAGGGATGGGGATGAAGGTCTTCTAGATTTCTGATGCCCTGACCCTGGGCTCAGCTAGTTCAAGCAAGGGGCTGGCCTCAGCCTGTTTGTTTTGGCTGAGTGGTGAGGGCCTCGCAGGCTCTGCCAACAGGATTTCGGTGTTTGCTTTCCTGCCTGGCAATGGCTACTGAGGCAGTTGGCATGCTGCTCCCCATGATGGATCTTCCCCCTGGTGCTCCCAGCCAGAAGGATCTGTCTCATGCTGCTTGCTCTAGCCAGTAAGGTCCCTGCTGCTTCGGCCCCTTGCTCAGATGAATGGGGTCTCTTTGTAAGATCATTATTATCCTAAGACTCTTAGGTTTGGGGAAGCAGGCTAGTGGAGGGAAGTCAGTTTTTCTCTTGAAAATGGCTGCATACCCAGAGACGCCAAGGAACCAGGAAGTAAGGCAGAAAAAGAACTCAGAAGGAGGCTCAGAGGAATCAGGAACCAATCCCAAGAGGGTTGGAAGAACTTGCTTTGCTTGCCCACATTTCTTTGCACATGCTGTCTGGGGGTGCTAAATACCGAGGAGTCAAAAGGAAGGACAGCCCAGACCAGTCAAAGGCCATGGTTTGGGCGGGTCCTGGAGTAAGCAGGATGATGGAGGGTCTGTTGGGAAGAAGATATGCTTAGAACAATCACACCTTCTTCCATCCCAGAGCAGCTACTAGAGCTCCAGCACCGTGGGCATCCAAGGGGCACGAAAATCCTGTCACCTGCTTGGCTTTCCCAGGCTGCTAGTTAACTTAGAGTCATGCCTGGAGAATGTAACATGATTGAAAACAATGCTTAGTAAATTGCAGTTTTAAAGTATTCACTGCCTTCCTAACCATTGGCAAAACCCCTTTTATTGCTGTTTTAGATTCCTGGAGTGGAAAGGCTACCAGTGCTGTAATTAAGCTAAGTGACATGGCAGCTGTAAAGACAAGGGTTGTGAATAATGACATTCAGCTCGTGTAATCTTGCAGTAGAGGGAGGGGGAGGATGCTTGGAACAGTGGGTCTGACTTACCCTCCCTGCCAGTGCAGAAGGAAAACTGGAGTCTGAAATGACCTTTAAGGCTAGTAAGCGTTACTGGGCCTTTGAAGTCGGTTAGGAGCCTCCTGAGTGTGGGATGAGCAGATAAATGACTCCCCAACCTGGCTGTGCACTGGAACCCCCGGGGTAGCTCTTTCAATCTCCCCTCCCTAGATGGATCAGTTTGGTCGAAGAGAGACCACATGTGTTCTGGTGGTGCTGAGCCTGAGGAGAGTAAGAACTTGCCTAAGTGGACTATTTTTAACTTGGTCTTTAGGAAAAATTTGTTTTCCATTAGAAAAAATGTCCTTCAATGTGACTCTTTTAAATCCGTCTAGGGACAGGGACATATACAGTTGCTTCATGAAAAAGACATTCTGATCTCACTCCCCAAAAGCTCCTTGTCTAATGTTCCCATTTTCTTCCCCAAAATTCAATTGTGGGGGTGGGGGTGGGGGGCATCTTTGCTGCTTCCTTTCTCTGTCCCCTCCGTGTGTTCAGTCGCTGTCTTAGCGTGGTGGGGTTTTCCTCCCTTGCCTTTCTGTTCATTCCCCCAGCCAGCCTGGGAGAAGCTGCAGGGTCTTGACACTGGGGCTACTGCATGAGCCCCCAAGCTGTTTTTTTAACCACCTTGTGAAGCTATTATAGACTGAATTGTGTCTCCTCCCCAAAAAGATATGCTGACATCCTAGTGCGGGCATCTGTGCATGTAACCTGGTTTGGAAATCGGGGCTTTATAGATGTTAGCAGTTAAGGTGAGCCAAACGTATGAACTTAGGAGTGGTGTCCTTATCTTGACAAGCCACCCAGTTTGTGGTACTTTGTTATGGCCATCCTAGGAAACTTATACAAACACTACAGAACCTCTTTGTTTCGTTCAAAAGCCTTCAATGGATTCCCCCTGCCCACTGTTTTGAGTAAAAAGCTTTCCTATTATTTCATTTAGCAAACATGTATCGAATCCATACTGTGTTCTAAGTATCTACTAAGAGCAGAGAACATACAGCTACAAAGAGGGTGAAGTCTAATGGCAAGACGGTCACTCAAGAAATTTCGCTGTCACGGTCATGGTCAGTGCAGTCAGGGGAATGAAAACAAAGTACATCTGGGTTTCCGGTAGCGTCTCTAAATGACCTGTCATCTTCATCCTGCAAGTTCTTTTTTCCCACCCAAATTGGACTAGATCTTACTCGTTAATCACGTTAGGTTTCCTTCCTTTCCTTGGTGCAGGCCATACCGCCTGTCTACCTGTGAAAGCCTTGGTTTGTCCTTTCCTGCGACCTTAAGTATTAGCTCCTCCAATGAAATCAGTTCGGACTTCTCATTTGAGTGTGGCAGCACTTCCGTCTCATCTGCAGACTTCTTATCTGTCTTACTCCCCTGCACATCCATGGGGGCAAGAGCTGTTACAAGGCTCTTACGGCCCCTTCCAATGGCAGACAGTTGCTCTAGAGAGCTCTGTGGGTGACGAGGCAAGAGGCAGGTGGGGTGAAGAAGGGCCTTTGCCACCTCCTCAGTGCATAATCCAGAACTGTTTAAGTCTAGACAAAACTGGCTTCATAATTTACAAGGTGTGGCGCAAGATGGAGAGGCAGGGTCGCTTGTTCCAAATGGAAAGAACTTCAAGATGGGAACAGCAGAGCATTAGGTTAAGGATGGGACCCTTCTAAGCATGGGACCCTGTGCACCTGCCTGGTTCAAATGACCATGAAGACAATCCTTTCTCTAGGGCCAAAGGATAATTCCAACTTCACAATATTAGTACCAATATCACATTCATAAAAAATGTCCCCCCGGTCAGCTTTGGCTGTTTGGGGCTGGTGGCTGGGAAAAGAAGGGAGGCGATTTAAAGGTTCTAGAAAGGCTGTGAACTCCCAGGGTGCTCCATTTCAACAAGTCTCACACCTGTTGCTTGGGTCAGACTATGCCCTATGGCAATCTGATCATCACCACTGGGAAGCTTGCCTCTGGTCTGTTTATATCTTCTGAGTGGCAGCAAGAAAGACCTGGTCAAGTAAGGTTTGAAGTGAAAAATAAACCTTAACATTTATGTCCACTAATAACCAGTAGCTCCTGTTATCCGGATGTGTCTTGCCTTACTGAAAAGAGCCTTATGCCAGGAGTCCTTGACAGCCAAAT